TTCCATAACTAATTATCCAAAACAAATATAGTTAAATTTTCCCATCTAAATGATTTGGTTTCCTTTTCCTCATCTTTCTTCTTTTGCCCTAAATAATTATATTTTATTATTTTTTATTTGTTATGAATTTGAACTATAGTTTTTTATTTTGAATTTCTTTTATTTTTTTAACTTTTTTGAGTTATGATAATTTCTTATTTATCCAAGAGAAAATATGGGGAATTTTTCATAAATAAATGATTTTATTGTTTTATTTTTTATTATTTCTCTTTTTTTTTGTACGTAATTTTCACCCTTTTTTTCTTCTTTTTTTCCCTTTTCTTTTCTTTTTTTTTATTTCCTTTCAACCATTTTGTTTGCATTTCTATTTTTTGATTTTGGAATACCTCATTTTATTTTTTTATATTTTGACTATTCTTATATTAGTTTTTTCATTTTTTTTGATTTTTTAATTTAATTTATTTATTTTTTAAAATTTTAGTTTTGGATTTTCCATTTTTTTTTGGTTTAACTCTTTTTTTTTCTATATTTTTCCTCTTTTTATACTTTTTTCTTATTTTTTCTCTTTTAAAAACTTTTCTATATTTTTCTCTTTTTCAATTTTTTGATTTATTATTATATTTTTTTGACTCTTTGTTTGATATTGATTTTTTTAATGAGAATTTTGATTATTTTAGTTTTTTTCTATTTTGTATTTTTCTTTATTTTTTACCCTCATTTTTTCTCTATTTTAGTTTTTTGTATTTTATTTTTTTTTTCATTTGTTTTTTGATTTTTGTTTATGTGTATTGGTGCTTAACTAAACCTTACTACCCCTTTTCTATTTCAAGTTTTTACTTTTATTTTGTTTTACCTTTTCTCTTCTCTCTGTTTGTTCTTTTTCTATTTTTCTATTTTTCTGTTTTTCTATTTTTTCTTTTTCTTATTTTTCTTTAAACTTGCCCTTTATTTTTATTTTTTATTATTTTTCCTCTCTTTTGTTATTTTTTGATTAATGATTATATGTTGTTTTTTGACTTTTTATTTGATAAATTTGCATTTATGCCTAGCCTTCCTATACCTTTTATTTCAAAATTTTTCTTCTTCTTTTTTTTTATTTTTTAATTATGCCTAGCCTTCTTATATATTTTTTAATTTACAAAATTTGCATTTATGCCTAGCCTTCTTATCTATTTTTGTTTTGTTTTTATATTTTTTTATTTCATGTTTTTATTTTGATGTGGGCCCCATAAGGGGTATGCAGGCAAACTAAGTTGGGTGGCTGACATCCTAAATGACTAGGCTTGCACATGGAGTGTGTGCATGAGGAGAGGGTTAACACCTAGGCTCAAACGGCTCCAACAAGGTTGCTGCTAGCTTTCAAACCTCCACCCATCGGACAAATGGGCTTCTCAGGTTGGTGGTTGGTTAAGAACCATTAGCTCAGCCAATAGGTACTTAGATCCCATGGCTTAGGCTTCCGATTCTCTTCTATAGGACAATAGGATCCTACATCAAATGTAGGATGATGTGCAAAGTGTACATAAGCATATATAAAGCAATAAAGAACTACCTAACAAGCATAAAGAGATAAGCAATTCTTGCTCTAATAGATAAGCATGCAATATATTCAAAAATGGCAATAAATCCAAATGGGTCCTATATGGGCCCCACCTATGGTCCAAGAACTCCCTAGTGGAGTTGCAAGTTTGTGATCATTGGGAAAATAGCTCACTTGGGTTGGGAATGGAGTCGCTACCGATCAGATTAGGAAATGGAGGTGATGGGACCTCTGAGAATGATTTTCAAATCATTTATCATTTTATAATGACTCCAAAACCCAAGGCACCAGTTAACCAGTCTGACTAAGACTTGGACGGGTCAAGGAAGGGGTTAGGCACTCCTCTCCCAGATCTGATAGGTGGGGTACACATGGTATCTCTAAGAAATAAGCATGATCACAACTACACAATTAATCAAGCAACGTAAAAAAAAGGAAAGCAAATCACAAGAATAAGCCAACACAAAAGAAATAAATCTTCATACATTTTATATTTTTTTACTTTTTTATCATTTAATTTTTTTTGTTTTTAATTTTTCTAATTCTTTTATCTCTATTTTATTTAACCTTTTATTTATTTTTATTGTTTTTTATTTTTACTTTCTCTTTCTTTTATTGTTATTTTATTTTTACTTTCTCTCTCTATTAATTACTAGTTTATTGTTTATTGGATTGAATTATTTATTTTTTGAACATTTTATATTTTGTTTTTGTTTTTTACTGATTATTTTATTACTTGTTATTACTGTTATATTTTTTTAGTTTTCCCTATTTATTGTAACCTAGTTTTCATCCTTATCCCCAACGTCCTCTCTCCTTCCTTTCTTTTTCAATTTTTTTTCTCCAATTAAATTTTCAACTAATGTGTTATTTATCTACTGATTCAAGACACATACTAAAATTCAAGTATTGATAGTCTTTTGTCGAACCAAACGATAGGCTAATCTTCGAAGAGACTATAATGTGATTAAAGGTGATGAGGGGTGATTTGGCCCGACCTAATGAATAGAAGACACGTGGACACGACCTTCTAGCCAGGCAGTGACTCAACACTTCTCACCACCTCGGCAGACTGGGCCACCTTGGGTACCTCAGTCACTTCGAACAAGACCAAAGTTAGGAGACCTTGGCAGCCACAGGCGCCAAAGTGAAACATGGTGGATTCTAGAAGATCGCCATCTATCCCTGAGACTTTCGGGATCATATCGCGTAACTATAGGACCTATCCTCATCCCGCCCGAATCAGATGGAAGCAATAAGCCTTATCAGCTAGCACATTGGCCACCTTCCAAAATGGAACAGACTCCTACCACTTGCTCCGAAGATCCTGGAGAGGATCCTTCGGGCTTACGGCGGTTCAGCTATATAAGGGCATTGAATCCCCTAGCACAAGGTGCGCGTGATTACTTGCTCACTAGCTCTCTTATACTCAAGCTTTCAGCTCATAACCAAGACCACATTACTAACTTAAGCATCGAAGCGACCTCGCTGGGTTAGCCACCCTGGGTTCTCTGATCTGTTTTCTTGTTGTTCGAACCAATTTGCTATGCGACCAGTCTCCAAGCAACCTTCCAGCTAGGATCTCTCAAATCGTGCACCATCAATTGGCATCGTTTGTGGGAACTATAACCAAAAAGCCAACCTCTATTCCCTATTCTTTCATCCATTTAATGGATTCTACAAGCAACACTATGAAGAGCACTGACATGACCACCTCTGAGGGACAGGAACCGGCTTCAGCTAGCCAAGAGTTCCCCACGGTCTTTATCAGCCAGTTCACTATCCCCCTCACTGTTTCGAGGATCCCAACTATATCGACATAGCATGCCCAGTACTGAACCCAGCCATTGAACGTTTCCCTACCCCAGGTAAGCACCACTTTCTCCATGGCAGAACCCCCTATGGTCCCTCCTAGAATTGGGCATCAACAGTTTGACGAGCTAGTCCATAGTGTTTGAACCATGCAGCTACAAATGCAACAGGTGCACTAGTTCTAGCAATTCCATCAGTATCAACAGCAGTTTCCACCATTGCAGCACCAGTATCAATATTGGCCTCAACACCAGAATTAGAACTAGAACCAGCATCAGGCCCATAATCAGTAGTAGCATCAGTCCCATAATTAGTAGCAGCATCAGGGTGTACGCCAATCTCCTCCTCAGAGTGTGGGAAATGCACAGGTCCCAGTCCCTCCCGGGACCGGACCCTACCTTGGGGTAGAGTTGACGATCAGCATACCCCCCAACCTTCTCAGAGAGGAAACCCCAAAGACAGGCACGAAGTCAGCCAGCATACGAGGACCAAGTTGCAACAACACTCGCGACCTGAGAACCATGAGTCGCAAGTTAATGATCACCAACTTGGAGCTCGAGGTGCAGACTCACAATGAGGCCCCTCGGCTCCCTGTGATAGCCAACAACGAGTTCGGGATTGAGAAGATGTTGGAGGTAGGAACCCACTCCCACCTTGTGACAGTGTTCGGGAGCGAGAGCGAACCCGACTCGAAGTTCCTAATAACACTGAGGTCAACAGTACTAACGTAGAGGCAGTAAAGAAGCAGCTAAGACACCACAAGATGCGCCGATCTTCCGCTAGGAACAGTCCGCCACTGAGAAAAAGTTAGCCACTAGAACCGAACTAGGTGAGAGAGGAAGTGAGCTCAGTAGTTGCACAATCAACTCCTGCATTGTTGAGCCAGCCCTCCCCCTTGTCAGCCGAGATACTAGCAGCCCCAAGGCCAAAGGACTTTAAGACACCTACACTAGAGACGTTTGATGGGAACTTTGACCCCAATGACCACGTCGACGTGTTCCAATCTCAAATGCACCTCGCCGGAGAAGACGAGGCCTGCATGTGCATGGCCTTCTCCACCACTTTCAGAGGACAAGCCAGGAAGTGGTATAGAAACATAGCACCGGACTCGATCAAAAGTTTGACTCAGCTCACCGGCTTGTTCACTGCCCACTTTGTCACTATTAAGAAGTGCCCAAAATTGCAAGAAAGCCTTCTGAACGTGGTCTAGAGGGAGAATGAGCTAATTCAAAGCTACATCAAGTGTTTCAATGAAGTATGTCTGCAAATACCTGACCTCGATCCGATCGTGCACCTCACTGTAGCGCGAAAAGGAGTAAAGCACAAGGAGTTCGCGTGGTACCTCGGAGTCCACCCCCCAAGAACGATCAAGGAGTTCCTCGACTATGCCAAGTGGTTCATGAGCACAGAAGAAGATCTCAACACCAAGGTAGAGATCCAATAGGGTGAGAAAAGGAAGAGAGAGGATGAAGAAACAAGAAACAGCAAGCACAGGTGGAAGAAGAGTAAGTCACCAAGGAGAAGCAAGTCTCCCCGTCAGAAAACAAGGTCACCATCTCGGGGTTCTACGTCAAGTCAGCAATCCAGGACCCCACCTGTTGAAAGGACGTACTACACCCCCCTCAATACAAAGAGAGGAGAAATCCTGATGGCAATCAAAGGCTCTTCCTTTGTCAAGTGGCCGCCCAAGCTGCGAGGAGATCCAGCGACTAGGAACCTAAAATTCTATTGTCATTTTCATCATAACACTGGGCATAGCATTGAGAACTACCGGAATATCCATGACGAGATTGAAGAGCTTATCCACTGCGGGTACCTAAAGAAGTACATCTTGCGTGAAGGCAGAGAATCAATGGACTGTCAAGCCGACCAAAGAAGAGAAGCTCTAGAGTCAAGCAGGCGAAATGAACAGCCACCCCGACAACAACAACTGCCTAAGGACAGACCAATCCGCGGGGTGATCAACATGATCACCGGTGGGTCCATTGTTGCGAGGTGTAACACTTCGGCAGGGAAGACCTCAGTTCAAGAACTCGAACATGAAGCAGAAAATCCACCGAAACGACCTCGGATCGAAGAACCCATTTATTTCATGGAGGATGATGCTCGTGGGATACAGTATCCACATGATGATGCCCTCATTGTCAAGCTGCTAGTGATTAATTACTTCGAGGTAAAGCGGATATTGGTGGACTTAAGTAGTTCAATAGATATCATTTTTCTAGAAGCCTTTGAGAAGCTACAATTGCAACAAAGTGATATGCAGCCTACAACCTCACCTTTGGTAGGGTTCAACAGTGAAGTAGTCAGGCCCCTTGGACGCATCATAGTGCCCGTTGCAGCAAGAACGTGGCCCAACTTAGTGTTCTTCGAGCATACCATCCTCATGGTCGCGAATCCATCCCCCTACAACATGATTTTAGGTCGGCCCATTCTGTACACCCTTCGTGCAGTTGTGTCTACCTAGTATCTGGCGATGAAGTACTTGAAAGACTGCGGAGTAGGGGTTGTGTGAGGTGACCAGTTGAAATCGCATAAGTGCTACATGGTCGCACTGAAGGGCAAGGCAAAGTTGGTAGATGATGTCGAACTAGAGTCTCCACCCAAGCATACAGAGGAACGAGCTACCCCGATGGAGGAAACCGTCCATATCTGAGTCTCCGAATACGATCTGACGAAGACCCTCCAAATCGGTGCACTGCTAAGCGAACCCCATCAGATCGTAGCTAGTAAGTTTTCTACTTGAAAATTTCGATGTTTTTGCTTGGTCCGCGGCAAAACTGCTTGGTATTGACCCTAGCACAATTACTCATAGATTTAATATGGACCCCTCAGTCAAGCCAATTAGACAAAGAAAATGGAACCTCGTCCCGAAGAGGTGAAGGGTAGTTGACGAGGAGATCAGGAAGCTCCTCGCAGTAGACTTTGTTAAGGAGGTCCAATACCCGAGCTGGGTGGCCAACCCTATGCTAGTGAAGAAGTCCAATGGAAAGTGGCATATGTGCATCGACTACACCGACCTTAACAAAGCCTATCTGGTGGACTGCTTTCAACTCCCTAGAATTGACCGTCTGGTAGACGTGACCTCGGGGCACGAGTTGCTAAGCTTCATTGACGCCTACTCTATGTACAACCAGATTAGGATGCACGTATTAACCAAGAGAAAATTGCATTTGTAACCGAATTGGGGCTGTACTGTTATAAAGTAATGCCCTTTGGGTTGAAAAATGCTAGAGCAACTTTCTATCGACTTGTAAACAAGGTTTTTGAACCTCTAATTGGAAATAAAGTGGAGTGTTATGTTGATGACATGGTCGTGAAGACCCAATTTTTGAGCTCTTTAATTGATGATTTAAGTTGTGTTTTTAAAATTATGAGAAAATTTAACATGAATCTCAATCCGAACAAGTGTGTCTTCGGGGTCACGTCGGGCAAGTTCCTCGGCTATATAGTGAACCGATGTGGCATCGAGGCCAATCTGGACAAAATTAAGGCCATATTAGATATGAGACCGCCCCAAAAGCTAAAGGTGGTCCAAAGGCTAACTGACCCGGTAGCTGCCCTAACCCAATTTATGTCTAAGTCGACAGGTTAGTGCCTATCATTCTTTGAAGCAATAAAAAAGAATGAAGACTTTTAGTGGACCGAAGAATGTCAGCTCGCGTTTGACGAGTTGAAGAAATACTTAAGTACTACACCGGTTTTAACCCGACCCGAGGATGGCGACGAGCTAATTGTACCTCTCAGCGAGTGACGAGATAGTCAGCTTGGTACTAATCAGGGAAGTAGACCGGGTCCAATGACCAGTCTACTATGTAAGCAATGTCTTGTAGGCTGCAAATACCAGATACCCTGACATTGAGAAACTAGCATACGTGCTAGTAGTCGCAGCTTGGAAATTATGTCCGTACTTCTAAGCCCACACAATTATTGTCCTAACAAGCAAGCCTTTGAAGCATGTTCTACTGAAGCCTGAAGTGTCTGGTAACGAAGTGGTCCATCGAGCTGAGTGAATATGACATCCGATTCAAGCCATGCCCAACAATCAAAGCCCAAGTCTTGGTCGATTTTGTGGCAGAATGCACGTTCAGCATGCCGACCCCTGAATTGGCTGAGCCTGCTAACATGTTGGAGATGTCAACCAGTGCGGCACCGGTTCTGGTCGGAGCAGGGCTGACCTAGGATGAGGAGCCCTGGATCCTCCACCTCGATTGCCTGTCTAACCAGCGAGGAAACGGTGTTGGACTAATACTCTATGGGCCAAGCGAGGTGAAGCTGGAGTATGCTCTCCAGTGGAGTATGAGGGATTGATTACTGGGCTGAGTCTAGCAAAGGAAATCGGCATGAAGCACTTAATAGTGTGCAGCGACTCCCAGCTAGTGGTGAATCAAGTCAACGGAGACTACGAAGCTCGTGACCCAACTATGGTGGCCTATCTGTTCAAAGTGAGATAACTACTACTGACCTTCTGCTCATGGTTCATCCAGTAGATACCAAGGTCCTAGAATGTTGAGGCCAACTCTTTATTGTGATTGGCCAGTACCATTGACAACACAATGGAGATAGTTTACATAGAAGACCTGCCTCGGCCCAGCATTCTCAGGGGGCAGGAGAGGTCGCTCCCGTGTTGCCAGTAAAAACGAGTTGGATCGACCCACTCATTGACTACCTGCTCCACGTGACCCTACCAACATAACACAATGCAGATCGGAGGGTAGAGCATCAGTCAGCTTGGTACGTTCTTATAGACGGGCGGCTGTATAGGAGGTCCTTCACACTCCCCTACCTACATTGCTTGCGGCCTTCAGAAGTAGACCGGGTACTTTATGACATCCATGAAGGATTTTGCAGAGGACACTTGGGGGGGGGGGGGCAGGGCACTAGCCCAAAAGGCACTAAGACAAGGGTACTACTAGCAAGGCAGACACACTCGAGCTCATTAAAAAATGTGACAACTATTAGAAGCATGCCAATATCCTTCATTAATCTGCTGCCGATCTGAAGTACCTGACCAGCCCGTGGCCCTTTCCATAGTGGGGAATAGACATCCCCAGACCATTCCCACCTGCAACTGGGCAGAGAAGATTCTTAGTAGTGGCAGTGGACTACATTACGAAGTGGGTGGAGGCTGAGCCCCTGGTAACAATTACAACTCAAAATGTGTAGAATGACTTTTGGAAAAGCATAGTGTGCCGCTTCATATTACCGAGGGTGCTGATATTAGATAATGGGAAATAGTTTGAAGACATCAAGTTCCAGAACTGGTGTGCCAAGATGGGGTTCTAGCAAAACTTCACTTCGGTGGCACACCTGCCGACAAATGGACAGGCTGAAGTGACGAATAGGGCTATCCTCTGAAGACTAAAAGCTCGCTCAGCGTGAGCTAAGGGGTTATGGGTGGATGAGCTTGAAGGGAAGAGAGATCCATCATGTGGATAGCTGAACCATGCAGGAAGGTCGGGCGAAATTTCAAAAAAATTTTCTCTATCCCTTTTGGGAATCACATTCCCTATTTTAGAAAACTACATTTTCAAGGATCATTCTTGAAACAAAACCCGACCAGATCTAAAACGAAAGGGAGGAGAGGGAAATACCTGATACGAAGTAATGGTAACTCCCAATGAAGGTGTTCATGCCCAAGTAAAAACCAAAACCCTCTTCCACTAAAGATGACACAATGCATAGTGAAGCAAGATCAACAGGAACTGAATTCTTCAGCAAGAATTGAGTAAAGGGCTAGTGAGCATGACTTCAGATTGTTTCTTCAGCCATGAGATAATATCAATAACTCTTCTTCATAGGTGGAGATTGAACTGGGTAGTAATTGCAAGAACAAGGAGAGAATTCTGCAGATTGTAGTGAGTAAAACTAAGGAATTTGCCCCTATTTATAGTCTTCTTTGGATAAGCCTCCTAATCTAATTAGGAGAGAGTTTCTTGATCCAAATCTGATATTTGGATCTGGACTCTTGATCGGATAAGACTTCTCTTATCCATTCAGCTAATCCTAATCAAATTATAAATAAGTTCTTGCCTCCTTTTAATTAACCAATTTAAGCGCAGTTCAAAATGGGCTTTTGGCCCATTAAACCTATGTGCTCACTTAAACCTTTAACCTGTTGCCCAGTTGGCTCTCTTTGTATGGTGTGGGACCCTTACATCATTCAACACATCAGCCACATGGGTTCAGCCCAGCCTTTGTTACAAAACTTGGTCAAATTCACTATAGGAGACAGTGAACCCCTAAGTCCATCATCATGGCCTCTTAATGGGCCCAACATTTACACTAAATGGTCCTTAGGTCCTGCCACCTTATGAAAACCCAAGGAGTATGGGCAGACGCAAGATTATCCCATCAGGTTTACCCTCAATGGTCTTACACTTAACTCCTCAGCACATAATGTTCAAACACTGTCTGACTAGAGAGGACCTCTCCCTTGGCTGCAAGGAACAGTGTTGCACTCTCTACTCACATGGATCCCGAGAATTAAAACATTTTTCAAACATTTTGAAACCATAATATATATATATATATATATGTATATCTCTATATAAATGTATTTTGCAAAAACAAATCTCAATGTTTGATATCAACTACCGGTAGTTTAGGTTTCCATTAGAGAGAGTATAGTACCCGATCATTCACTTTGTTTGACAAAGGGGCTGATCCTGTCACTATGATCACCCACTCAGATGAATTCTTGGACTGTCCCAACATACCCAGGTTTTGACCCCCTCTAAGGATCTCATTGATTGGCATATCAAATATAGCCTGATCTAACACCTAGTGTAGTACCATAATTGAGTCTAGGGGTCAGGTGTAACTTTCCAATTTTGCCAATCTATCTGCAAGGTCCAGGGTAATACTAGAATTTTGGTCCGGTTCAGGGTTTCAAGAAAACCCACACTACATGTACCTCAGGTCTCACCCTGGTGGCTGAGACAAACCACCCCAACCAACTTGGCGGCACATCATTGTTAGCCTTGATAGGATGAATCTCCCTAGATCTATCCAATGGCTGTGAAGATTCTAAAGTAACACAAATCTCATAAGTGTCCAGTTTAAGGGTATTACACAGAAACATACCAAAACACATGAATCAATTATGTACTTTTATTCATTTACAATAAATGTCATCAAGTACATCAATCTGATTGGAGATACGGGCATATACACTGTCTAACAGAGCTACCTAGTGTCCTTTTGGAATATATGACGACCATTAAGACCGCAATATGTGAAACACCCTTCATATGACTAATGGAATGGAGGCCATGATCCCCGTCGAGATCGAAGTACTGACCTTGCAGTTCGAAGCATATGATGGGGAGGCGAATGATGACGAGCTTCAGACTAACTCCCTAACTCATATGGAGTCTTAGGAATTGATTTGGTTGGAACTTGGTTCAGCATGTAAATCGTAGTCTCTAATGTGAAACCCCAAAAGGATGTACGTAACTCTGAGTG